GTGAAAGAAAATGATATTAATATTATGAAATATATTACTATACAACACGTGCATTACACGAGTGCTTGTTAAAAATTATTCTTAAAATTTAAAATTAATGAGAAAAATTATTTTAAATTTTATTTATTTTCTTACAAAAAATATATATTATTGTATAGAATTACACTTGTTACTTGTGCGACTTACATGCGTTATATTATTGTAATTTTTATAACTTATATCATATAACTACTTGATATATAAATATATTAATTGATCTCTATGATATATAATATATATATATATATAATAACAAAAATATATAATAATAATAATAAAAATTATAGAAAGTTTGAATATTTAGCCAACTTATCTCATTCTTTTTTTTTCTTTATAGTACAAATATTCTACTTCAGCAAACTTCCCTTCACTTTAGTTCAGCTTTAGTTTAGGTTTATTCTTCAGATCAAATTTAAAAAATAAACAAAGAATCAAATGAATTCTAAAAAACAATAAGGAGTCTTTATTAAAAGTTATTTTTATTATTGTTAGAAAGATAAATTTATTTTCTTATACAATATGGATGTTAACTCGAAGCTCATCAAAGGATGATAAATTTGATATATTATATATGTAAAACTGATAAAAAATACAAAAATTATTAACTTTTAAAATACATCTACAATTCAATGGTTATAATAAGAAAGGATATTGGAATCAATCAATTGATACATGTAACATGACCATAAATAATCAACATAATTATGAATAATCTGGACCTAATTATTTTTAGATTGAAAGTAAATTAAAATCTATTCAAGTCTAATAACGAAGTATGTAATTTTGCCACAAGAATCCCGAAGCATGCGAGCCTGACACTTAGGCTCAGCACGTTCTGAATTAATATATAGGCTCAGTATTAACGTATGAAAAAATATACTAAAAGTGTATTCGGTTGGTATCGATATTCTGAAAAATTCGGTCAATATATACACTACTGTTAAATGGTACGGTTGGCGTGTGATATGGGATATTATATACACAAAGCTAAATCGGTCGGTTGGGCCGGTCGAGAAGGTTAAACCAAGAGGGAGCCGAGCCAAAAGGCGGGAAGATCGAACATTCAGGGAATCGACCAGACTAATGATCGAGCAATCCATCGCTCGACCAGACTAATGATCGAGCAAACTACTCGACCTCTGCAGGTCGATCGCTTCGAGGAACCCACAGTCGATCTAGTTGTGGGCGCGTGTATCGTAGGCGCGCGTAAGAGCCTCTGACTGAAATCTCCAGAGAATATTTACCCCATGTGCCGGGGAAACACGTGTCAACAATGTATTGGGTGATAGCGATAACCACCTCTGACAGCTCCTAACACCCCGCACCACCTCTGACATGTGCGCGGCGTGCCAGAGTACGGACGGGCAGTTTGGGCAGCCAACTCATCCTTATCCGGGCAGCTATTAGGGCAGGTATCTCACTCCTATATAAAGGGGGTGAGCCTTTTTCCTTGAACACATTCTATTCATTCTCTCAATTCCAGTATACTCATATACATACTGACTTAAGCATCAGAGGCTCTTCACCGGACACAACCCCCGGTGTGAGAGTTATTTACAGGTTTCCGGTGTTCTACCGGCGAGGACCAAGACCTATCCGTTCAAATCGGACCAGGACGCTTACACTTGCATTAGCGTGGATATTTTGATATTCTTATATGTATATTTATTAATGTATATTTTTTTGGTCGACATAACTGAAGTTCTAAAAGTAAAAACAGACCATCGTATATCAAACTGAAATATAAAAATTCCAACTAAAAAGTTTAGTTCGATCGTTGTTGTGGAGTCTGACAATCATCAATGTGCAATTCGTCTGACTATATCATGCACAGGTTCAGTCACTATTGTGCAATCTGAATCGATCGAACTTCTTGTCTCAAACTAAATTAAAAAAGAACCGAATTAATTAGTTTATTCCGTCGGTTAATTGAAATAATTAAAATAATTGAAATGAAATATTATTTATATTTTAAAAATGTATTTTGGTATAAATGTTTAAAAATATATATTATACATGTATTCGGTTGACTTCGACACTTTAAAAAAATCGGTTAATATATACATAATATTATTAATCAGCTGGCGTTGCTATTTTTAATTTTTTTTATGTTTATTTAATACTATATCTTATTATTTGTTCGGTAGTAATAAACTACTTTTTAAAAGTAAAAAATAATTAATCGAACTGAAATATATTAGTTGAACCAAGTTCTTTAGTCCATTCGCCGTTGTGCAGTCTGAAGGTCAATAATATGCAATTCGCCTAGACATATTGTGCACAGTTTCGATCGCTAATCGCATTCTACATCGGTTGAACTTTTGTCTCAAACTAGATTAAAATTGTACCTGAATATTTGGTTTACTCGTTTGGTTAATCGAATTAGCCAAAATGACTGCAACAAAATATTATTTATATTGTAATAATATATTAAGTATTTTTAACATTATATTTTATATTTTTTTTGGACTGAATAATATTTCTATATAAGGAATATAAATCTGGCATCAAACTTAAATAATTTAATTAAAAGTAATACAGATAATCGAATCCAAATATATATTTCGAACCAACTTTTTTTTTTTGTTTATGCGTTGCAAGTATTTTTTTTGTGCGATTCCAAACGTGATCGTGCAATACTGCAATTAACAACATTATGTGATTATTAAATGTTAAATAAATTATAAAATTTATCCATCAACTAAATTGAATTTATTAAAAATTTATAAAACTACAGATAGGTCTTAGTGAATTATCAAATTCTCAAAAATCATCAATCTCCAATTCAATTTCTCGTCGGCATATTCTCCAATGTTTACCGCCGCGTGCCTGCAACATCCGCCAAGAGTTGCCAACGGGTCAAACCGCTAGATTGTGGGAAGAGAAAGTCGAAGAGTCTGATTTTGAGTCCAATTTTTTACGGGACTGAGCGGTTTCAATGTCGGTATAGACGTCAGCGATTGATTAGGGTTCTAGCCAATTGAGTAAGGTTGTCCTCGATCGTGTCTACAGTGGCAAGTGGTAGCGACAGAGGTGGTCGAGTGGTTCGATCTCAACCGGAGTCTGCAGTCTTCGAGCTCGGCGACGGCTGAGGCTGGACTGACGGCGGGCAGCGGGCGACGAGCGATGAAAAAGTGGTTACCAGTGGAGTGCGACTGTGTGTGTTTTGTTTGTGCGCGCGTGTGTGAGAGTGTGAGGTGGGTGGGGCCCGCTGGTGTGTGTGTTTGTGCTGGTGTGAGATGTATAAATGGGGTGGGTTGTGGGACCCACTTGTTAGTAGGTCTGGTGCGTCCACTAATAGATAGATTAAAATATCCTTAGGCCTCGTTTATTTGAAGGGACGGGATATGATGATTTAATTCCACGAGTTAGCTTTTGTCCCATGAGTCAACTTTACTAAATCTGTAACTATTTAGTCATTCTATGGTATAGTGAATATTATACATGTGATTTTTTTGGACAAAAATGTCATTTTTGTGTTGGGATAAATTATCTCACCCTCAAACTGTGGGAATTATCTTGCCAGACATGGGTACAGACGTGTGTCCACCTACCACATACATGACACATAGGATTTATCCCAATCTCGATAATTGCTAGTAAACATATGATAAGATTGGTTAAGGAATGTTATCCCATCTAATCCAGGAAAAAAGAGGCCTTAATGAATGTATACTGAGGTTTTTTTTT